CCGGGGTGCTCCCCTCCTATCATTCCCCGAATCTAGTCGCGAAAACCTCTCGCTCATTAATAGATGGGAAAAACTCAAGGTCTTACACCACCAATTCGCACAACGATGGAAGGAAGACTACCTCAAAGACTTACATAAGCGACACAGGTGGAAGAATGCTCAAGTCGAACCCAGAATCGGAGAATGCGTAGTCATTAATGATGACACACTCCCGCCCACGGAATGGCGCCTGGGCCGCATCGATAGGTTGCACCCTGGCAAGGATGGGCATGTTCGTGTTGTCGAGGTACGCACTCAAACCGGCATTCTCACTCGGCCGATAGTTAAATTATGTTTCTTGCCACCGGCCGAACTTCAACTCACCATCATCGTGATTCGTTACCACTTATACCACAAACCGCTTGATCGTAAATTTGTCTCTCCTCCAATCACCATACGCGCCTTTTCCCCAAAATAACAATTATATACTTCTCTGTCTCATGACCCACGATACTCGATATACGTCCCACTAAAATTATATATCTACACAACTATTTACAGGCGTGAATGGATTCAGCACCCACACCAGCACCAAGAACATCACTCCGCTCGCAGGTGTTTGTGGCCGCTAGCGACCGCGGGGGGCGCCCAAACCCTGATTATCAGAAGTGCCGAGTTTGCGCGCGTCACCACGCGCTACGAACATGCCCGCTCTTTAGAAGGATGCAGCCAGCGCAGCGATACTTGTTGACGCGGGCCCATAACTACTGCACCAACTGCCTGGCACTGTCGCACGCTACCAGCGAATGCACATCCCAGATCACGTGCAGGATATGTGCACTGCCGCACCATACGATGCTTCATCGGGCCCCGCCGCCACCGCAGCCACATCGCCGTACCACCGCACCTCCAGCTCAAACACCTCCGACACCTGCATCCCGCTCAAACGCAAAACAAAATCGTCGCAACCCACCTACCCAGGCCGCTACCCATCGCTACAATCCGACTGCAGCCACCATTACACAACCACGCACCGTCAAACGTTCGGCAACAGGGCTCCATACCGCTGCATTCAGAGAAAGGACGGCAAATCGGCTTATGGATGAGGCCATTAGAGCGCTGGAGCAGTTGAAAGTGGCACTAGCCGTCTAGCGCGCCTAGGCGGGGCAGGATGTTCAAGTGAGTGACTAGCGCACGCACCCCGCATTAACCATTCGTATTTATTGAAGTATCTAGACTTGAATTATTTCTATGAAATGTAACTTTTTTGAACTAATAATTAGCTCGCAACGGGGACACCCCTATCAGCCAACCGGGTAGTTGGCAACGCGTGCGCTACTCGCTCACTTGAACGATCACCAGCTGTCAAAGCAACATATGTATACACACATATATATCTTCTCTTGTCGAAAAACCACACGATTGAACTGTGGCACTTGTTTTGATATTGTACTTAAAGTGAAAATTTTGTATCGCGAATTGAATTAAAGGCATATAAACGTGTGCGTTCGTCATTTAAATTGAAAGCTGAAGTGTTTTTATTTAACAAATCTCCCGGTCACGCAATTTGCAGTGACAGAGTAGCATCATTTTGTTCCAGCAGCCGCCGGGTTTTTACGCCACCGCCAGCAACTAGCCGACGCCGTTCAACCCCAACGGATAACCTTCAGCGCTGCCCTGCAAAGGCCAACCCATCGCCTCCGGTTGACCACCCCACCTAGCCTCAAATCCTAGAGATCCACCGTTCCGCTGCCCACAACTAACGCAGGCCCCCAAGCCCTGCGGGAAGGTACGTACAGACGCCACATACTTACCAAAGCATCTCGTAGTGGAGACACGAACCAAAACACATTTAGCTCTATATCTTTCCAACTAGTAGCCGGAACTCAATATGTAAGGTATCGTTTGAAAGGTATTGGCCTATAGAATAACACTAAATATGTTGGGTGTACCCATATGCCCCCTTAAACCGGCAAAACCAAAAAAACAAAAAGTTTTTTGTTTCGCAACAATTTAGCCTAATTTTTAAGAATCCGGTTAATCGTTTATGAAACTTGAATACATTTTCTGGACACAAGACCTGCAAGACCTTTCCAACGATATCTCAAACATGTCGATTGGACGTCTGGATAAAAACTTCCAAATCTGGTGTATATATAAGCGAGTCATTTCAGCATGCTACTGTGGCTGCTTTCGTCACTCGCGCGCAGTGCCGTGCGCTGTGATACAGCATAGGCCCGAGTACACTTGAGGAACGTCAGCCGTTATCAACATGTCTTCTGAAGTGAAATTAGATACTTTTAGAGAAAATTTTCTGTTAGATATGTATGTAAAAAATGTTAATATTTACGTAGTAAATATTTCAGTTGTTTATTTAAACAAGTATAAAGATATTTTACATTTAGTTAAAATTATTGATTTGGAAAAATGAGATTTTCAGCTTCGGTCAACTTCACGTGCTCTTTTTCTCTACTTCCTCCTTCTTCTCCTTACCTTACGCCGGGTTTCTTACATCGCGCAGGGTTGCTTACATCACGCAGGGTTGCCCACATCACATTCTGTCATCCTGCTCGTCATCTGTCCCAGATGACATATCTTCGTCAACTTCAAAATGTACCCAAAGCTTAATATTATCCACAGTGGTGGATGTAACGCGAGGCCCTATGAACTCGGCTGCCTTTTCGACGACATATCTCCCATTACGTTTGACTTCGACGACTTTATAAGGTCCGATGAATTTGTTTGATAACTTCTTATTCGAAAAATGTGTTACCTTTATCGCAACCAAATCTGCTTTTTGGTAGTCTTGACTGCTTTTACGCTTTTTGTCAAAGTTTCTTTTGTACGCTTCTTGAGCTTTCTGAATATTGACCCTGGCTTCTTCTCTCAGACTACGACGATCATCTTGAAATGCGACCAATAATTCTTCTTGAAGTAGATTTATTATATCGGTAGACATCTCGCTTTTCATTGTTATGCCAAACATAATCTCATATGGTGTAAATTTCGTTGACGAGTGGACGTGCGCATTCATAGCCTTTTGTACCACCGACAACTCTTGCCTATTCAACTGCTTATATAATACTCCGTTTTTCATTACATAATCTGCGTATGGTTTGTTGTCGAGAACTGCTGCTACCGCTTTTAGATGCTCATCGGTTTGTTGTGCTTTCTGAATTTGTACTTGCACCTGCTTCCCTGGGTACGTCTTTTTTAGCGGCTGTCTGCTTAAACGCCGCACAATCGGTAACGAGGTCAAACCGAATGCCCATTAAATAATGTCGTAATCTCTTAGTTGCTAAGTACGCAGCTTTGACTTCAAGGAAGTAACTATGAAGTCTTTCTTCTTGCAGTGAAGTCTTTCGACTCCAATAAAACACCGGATGCCACTTCCCCTCATGCTCTTGTACTAATGTCGCGCCAAATCCATACTTGGACGCATCTACATGAAGTTGTGTTTTACCATTCTGTTTAAAAATTTTTAAAACGGGCTCTTGCGTAAGCGGTGTCTTCAAATCAAGTATTGCTTGCTGTTGCTTCGGACCAATTTGAAATTCAGATTCCTTCTTCAACAACTGTGTTAGCGGCCTAGCCATGATGGCATAATTTTGGATGAATTTCCTAAAGTATCCCGTCAACCCTAGGAAAGCTTGCACGCCCCTAATATTTTTCGGTACAACAAAATTTTTAACAGCTTTAATTTTATCGCTTCCAGGTCAAATACTACCGTTCTGAATTTCATGACCCAAAAAACTAACTAACTAACTAAAATTTCGCTGACTGTATCTTCTCTAACACTTCGTCGATAATTGGCACAGGAAAACGATCCTTTAACACAGCAGCATTTAGTTTACGGTAATCTATGCAAACACGATAACCACCGTCTTTCTTCTTTGCCAAGACTACTTTACTTGCTATGTTTGCATTGGATTCCCGAACTATACCAAGTTTCAATCACTCATCTACTTGGCTCTTTACAACGTTGCGCTCTGCTGCAGAAAGTCGAGTTGGACTCTCATTGAAGTTAATAAAATCGTCTTTTGGTATTATCTTCAGCTGAATAGGATGTTCAATCGGGCTAACTACTGGATTGTACTCATTAATTAATTTCGTAACGACGCTCTTAAATTGTGGCAAAACATAAATTTCAGGCACCTTCTCTACGATATTGTATACGCATTTAAATTTGTCTTCGTCGTGTATTTGCTTCGTCTTATCCGAGAAAAAGTACCCATTAGTATTAAATTCTAATTGGAATTGTTGGATAAAATCGTAGCATACAATAATTTCGTTGTTTGTTTTGCTATCAGCTGCGACACATCTGCACCTGTGTCTATCAAGCACGAAAAATATTTGTTGCCAATCTGCATTTGCTTACTTCGTTTATCGCTCATTACTACGCTCACCGTTCGCTTCTGATTCTCACAATTCTTCGCAATGCGACCATTGCCGCTGTATTTGAAGCATTTCGTTTCAGCTTTACATTCCGAACGCATGTGTGTGTTTGACCCGCAATTGAAGCAATGTTGTTTACAGACCGCGCGCGGCTCGCCGTCGCCGTCTCTACCCTTTTGCACATGCTTTGTATAGTTTTGCTTCTGTAATGCACCGCTGCTGCTCTGCTTGCAACTCATTTGCTGTACAATCTCAAAACGGTCTCTTAGCTCTTTAAATGTTTTGGAACTATACAATGGGTATTTTAGATCGTCACGTACCTGCAGTCCGTCGACAATGTATCGAACAACTACTTCGTCCTCCACCGACCCTAATGCTGCCAGCTTTCTCATTTGCAGCACGTATTCGTGGAAGTTTTCATCGTTCTTCTTTCGCCTTTGCATTAACTTCTGATGTACGTCCGCACTGCTGAACTTCACGTCGAATTCGTCGATTAGCGCTTCACACAGAGATTCGTAGTTAGATACGCTTACTGCTTCCAAGAATAGTTTTGCCGTTGCCTTCATTTTGTTTCGCGCATTCACGTACTTCTCTTTTTCTGTTAGTTCGTATGCGGCAGCATTCTCATTAAAATTCGCCAACCACTTTCCAATTGGAATTGTCACACCATCATAGTCCGGAACGATTTTTGCAAATTGTTCGACGGAGACATTCTTACACGATTCCAGCGCTTTTAGCAACTCCAGCAGTTCAACTGGATTGGCAGAATTGCCACAAAACGTCCGTAGTTGACTGCATTTTGTTGTCGTCCACGGCTTTTTCAACTTCTATCAACTGAAATACGTTTTCTTCGCTTTCAACTTTTTCAGCTTCCACTTGTTCAACTTCAACTTGATTTCCCTCTGCTACGTTCTCCTTTTTCTTTTTGTTCGATCTACATACAGGCATTCTTTATCATTCTTGCGCTGAGCTCATTTGTTGTCNGAAATTAGATACTTTTAGAGAAAATTTTCTGTTAGATATGTATGTAAAAAATGTTAATATTTACGTAGTAAATATTTCAGTTGTTTATTTAAACAAGTATAAAGATATTTTACATTTAGTTAAAATGATTGATTTGGAAAAATGAGATTTTCAGCTTCGGTCAACTTCACGTGCTCTTTTTCTCTACTTCCTCCTTCTTCTCCTTACCTTACGCTGGGTTTCTTACATCACATGTATGATTCAAATATTTTGTGGAATTTTGGCGGTAATAATTTTTTAATTCTATATATAAGTGCCGCCTAAGTGGGCAAAAATCGAAAAATTCATTATCTGCAATGTGAACTTGTTTGGAATTTTATAAAGACAATTTATCCACTAAAAAGAATTAAATAGACATTTCCCTAAAAAAAAAATTATATGCCGCCAGGAAGCCACTAAAGTCGACAAATTTTATACTAAGAATTTTAATAAGAGCATAGCCATCCGTAAGCTCCTCACAGAAATAAATGTCAAAAATATATTCTTTGAAATAAAATGTTGGTTTAACATTTCTTGTTTCCATATAGATAGTAGAGAAATACAGGAATTAAAATTTTAGAATAAAATTAAACCAGAGCTGTTAAGTAATGATTATAAATTGTAATGATTACCGATTTAATTAATTATTTTTTTAAAATCTGCTGAATGGATAATTACCATTATTTCCACTTCTAAATTAATAATTACCGATTACCATTAAAAATAATCAAAAAATAATCGTAATTGTAGCCAATTGGAAGAAAAAATTAAAAATAACTAAAAATAATCAAAAAAGCTAATTGGATTAGTTTTACAATAAAATAATTTTTTTTTTTATTATTTTTGATTTTTTATTATTATGTAAATTATTTTAAATAAAATGTATTGCTCAGACGGAAAAATGTGTTTTGTCGACAATATGTATGTAGCTGTGAAATACGGTGTTACGTTGCTCTTTCAAATGACCA